ATAATTAGCTATTGGACATATTCAGGGGGCTGCCTGAGTGATGCAAATGTAGAAAACAAGATAAGAGGGAACTTCTTCTTTCCTGATTCACACTGTGCAAAATGCAAAGATGATGGCAAAATGGAAATAACAGCCATTGTAATTTGCATGTCCTTGATAACTGTGGTCTGCACTTATGCAGTTATTTATTTTCAAGCAAATTCTTAACTCTAGTGGAAAATATGCAATTCTGAAAGCTGGGCTTAAAGAAACAGATACATTTAAACTGCCTTCATGTAGAATCAAGTGCTCTGTCTGGAGACCTTTGGGCTATTTATTGACTCGTCATAAATAAGGTTCTCTCAAAGTGGGTTAGGATTTTGTTCTGGCCTTCTGTGAGGAAACGTACTGCCAGCTGCCAACTTAATGAATATTATGGTGTCCATTAAATACTAGATTTTTTAAAAACCTTTGTCCCTCATCTGCTATATTTTGTGTCGACAGAAATGTGTGTGTTAAGTCACATCAGTGTTTGTGTGTTAATTAAACATAATGCAACTATATACACATCCAGAATGCAAATGGCTTGCCAAGGGATATTTGTAAACACATACGCAGAGACACATGTGCATTTGCACTCATATATCTACTGTTAGCCGCGTAACACAGATGGACTGGAACAACGCACTTCATTTGCTTTTAACTTTTGGATCAGGAATGCTCAACCCCAACCCAGGGGCCACATCTGGCCCATGGAGCCATTTCATGCAGCCCACAGAGATCCCCATGGGTCTTTAAATTTGGCAGTGTGGGCCACACTGTCACTGTACATGGCTGGATCAGAGACTGTCCAGGCCATAGTTGCATGGCTGGATTCAGCCCCATATGGGACGTCGTTGCACGTGGATCAGATCCTGTCTGGGCAGTTGCTGTGCAGCTGGGTCGTGCTCTGCTGGCCCCACATAACTTCATTGGGCTCAGAGCCAAGCCTCACACATTTGGATCAGGCCCTGGCTGTACCAATACTGCTCACCTGATTGGGCCCAGAGGCTGAATCCATCCTGCAGACTGACCTAATTGCTTATCCAGTCCACAGGGAGAGAAGGTTGGGTACCACTGCTTTAGATCACTTGGATCCAGCTCTAAATTTCTTGGCTCAGGACTACCTTGATAAAATTGCTCCAAAAGAAGCCTCTGGAGCTGATCCCCATGAAATTGCATATAAATTCAGATTAGAGTCTGGGGTAAGATGTATGTAGCTGCAATATTCTGATTTAAATGCTTAAGTCAGTTTAGAAAAAGGTTTTTTTTTTTCTCATCATGAGGATGAGACTGTTCTCCTCTAGATCCATTGCATTACAGACAGGGCTGGTAACATCACATATTTTTAAGATTTCCTTACATTTTCCATTATTAGACCTTGGCTCTTTTTACTTAAAACTTTGGCCTAAAATTTTGTAACTAAACCAAATTTTTTGTGCTGTCTCAAACTTATTTTATTTGTATTTTCCCAGCCAAAATAGTTGAGCTGTTGCCAAGAATGAGGCTAAGGAAATGTTGCATTGTCCATGCTGAATTCTGGCTGTAGTTCCCTCATGCTTAAAGAAGAAGGTATGAAAATTGGCAGGGATAGAGTCTCCATGTCAGGAATGTGGTTTTGACTTTCCCTATGAAATATGTCCAAATGAGGTCAAATTACAAGCTCAGGGATGTGGATGGAGTTGAAGTTGGCATTTGCATAGGTGTGGGAATGGAGGTAAAAGGCATATAAGCTACTGTTTCTACATAATCCATAGAGACCATCTAGTGCTACATAGCTAAAACTCTGAAGATCCTATGCATGCCCAAGCATGATTTTCCCCACAGCTGCAGCTTAGGGCTCATGTGGAACTGATCTTTCTTGTGCTACCAGTGCCCCAGCCTCAACCTAGGCAATATGGACAAGGAAGCTGCCCAGGTTCAGCACAGCGGGGAAAAACACCATGTCTGAAGTGAGAGTAGTTTTGGACAAAAATAATTGGAGGGTTGACAGGGCAAGGACATAGTCAAGGAAACTATTACTGGGAACCGCTGGGATCAGATGAAAAGGGGAGGAGAAGAGGAAAAGATAAATGTCACATAGAGCCGAGAGAGGGACTGCTGGACAAAGGGATAGCAGGGACAGTGGGACTCAAAGAAACTGGGACCAACAGCAGTTTGCAATGAATGATATGGGTACAGTGCAGGGAGAGAAGTGTGTTTATATTGTACAAGGCTGGTGGAAAAAAAAACCTGAGGAAGAGCTGGGCCTGGGGGACTGTGGCGAGGAAATTTAATATGAGGAACTGGGGGTGGGAGGAGGAATGCCTGGACAAGAACACTGGCAGGAGCAGGTGGAGCCTAGGAATGCAGAAGCGGAGATAAGGTTTGGCCTGATCTGGGATAGAAAATGTATCAGGACTTGGAGGCTACAGCTCTCCAATTCTGGGGAAAGAAATAGGACTGAGTGTGTTTATAACGGATAGGGCAGAAGCTTGCAAGGATTGGGAAGTGATTCTGTCCGCTAGAGAAAACCTTCCCCTCTACAATTTGGAAGGGAACCTGAGATTCCTGAGTGTCACCCTTCCATTAGAAACTGAGAGAGGAACCCACTGGCAAAATATCTCATCCCCCTCTAGTGGCTATTCTTGCATGTGCCATAGAACGTGATGCTGGATAAACAGATTTTTAACAGGTGGTCGCTATTTCTATTTTCTGTTTGACTTGAGACTCTGAGTTTAATTTAGAAAAGTTCTGAGCACTTAGTCTCACCAGAGTTCAGTCAGAGCTCAGCTGATAAAATGCTACATAATGCAAAATATTCTGAAAAATCAGGTAGCTGAGACTGGGCATCTAAAATAGTGCTTAGGTTTTTTTTTTAACTTTAATCTCTCTGTACTTGAGTTCCTCATCTATAAAATAGAGAAATTACCACCCTGGCCCCATACAGCATTATTGTGAAAAACTTGTCTACTGTAGCTTGGAACAGTATATGAGAAAATTAATAATTCTCTCTCTAAAGACAGATTTAAATTACGTGCAATTAAGCAAGGCCTGTAGCCACACATTGAACAATGAAGCTACAATAAAATATTGAATTAACTGAATACAATCCATGCTGTGATATTTAGAAAATATAGCATATGATCATATTGTTAAAAAGTATCCTGAAAATGCATATGTACATGAGGACAAAAAAACCTTATACAGACAGTCCTTATTCTGGCATTACTTAAGTTTTAAGCGCAACCTTAAAATGTCCTTTCAAGAGAACTGTTTGTGTAGCAATGTGTTTCTGTAATATCCACTGCCCTGGCACACTATCAAGCCAAACTCTGGGCCAAATTCTTATCTTATTGCCCCATTGCACTTTTTGGAGTAATTTAACTGCCATCATTTGTCTCTCACCTTGATGAGACTGACATTAATTCAGGGTCTGATAAATTTAAAATACTGGTCTTAAAAATTACTTGTTGCGATAACTTTAGTTTCATGACTTTTTTTTACTTTGATTGTTAAACATTTTCTGCAATAAAAGGTTGTGGGGGCAGAATCAGAAGGGTAGAACCAAATATGAGTGAGCCAAAGGCAACTTGGAGACTGAACTAAGTGTCATCCCTGGAAATTAAATTATCTTGAATTTGTACTAGTACATCTGAGATCAGATTGTGGTCCTGTGTCTGGCTTTTAAAAGGGCCTGGGTAATATTATGACAATTAATAATATTTGTAGCTTTGCAAACTAACATAGCAAGGGTAAACAGAACTCATTATTCATGGCATAATTTCATTTCCTGTGGTGAAGTTAGCAGTGGAGATTAGGAAGGACCCCGTTTACAGCACTGTTAAATTGGTGTTGGTACACTACAGGGAGTTTTTACTTCCCTCTCCAGCATTAAGTTATTGATTATTGTACAAGCCAGGATACCACAGTAAGTAGACTACTGGACTGTTCTTTATTGACAAATCCTTAGGATGTTAAAAGCTCTATGGGCTGGTGCAGACTGAGCTAGAGTGCTCTGTTGAGATGTCTCCTTGTGAATGGTGCAGACTACTCACCGGTCCCACTCTGTGACATGGGGTGGAGGGAAGGCTAGTAATCCCATTCCCCTTCCCTTTTTTTCTGGCTATACCCTCCTTTCTATCCCTCCACTCCTGCCGTGAGTTCTTCAGTGTTCATTTACATGTTGAGATAGAACTGTAGGGCTGGAAAGGACCTCAGGAAGCCATCTCATTTAAGGCAAAATTATCCCTGACTAAATCATCCCACCCAACAGTTTGTCTAACCTGCTCTTAAAAACTTCCAGGGATGGAGGTTCCTTTCTAGGTAGCCTGTTCCATTTAAACATTCTCATAGTGAGAAAGTTCTTCCCAAAACCCAACCTAAATTTCCCTTGCTATAATTTAAGACTCTTTGTCCTGTCCTCTGCTGCCACCAAAACTAGTCTATCACCACCCTCTTTGTAACACCCTTCAGATATTTGAAGACTGTTATTAAATCTCCCTTTAGTCTTCTCTTTTCCAGATTAAATAATCCCATCTCTTTCAGCCTTTCCTCGTAAATCATGTTTCCTGGACCTCTAGTCATTTTGTGGAAGGTTTCTTTCTAGCCTTTGAATTTGCCTGGATTAAGCCTATGGGTGTATAGTCTCTTCTTGCTTGAGGCTGTGTATTTGAAGCTATAGTAGATGCAGTTACATCAATTGTTTTCCTAGTCATGGACCAAGAACCTACTGTGCTAATTACTATCCAAGCAAAGAACAAAAATAGTCTCAGTGCCTTAATCCTTCTGCAGTTTTTACTATTACAATATAATGTGGCAGCCACTGGTCCTCCATCCTAGTCCTGAGTTTGACATCAATTATACTTACTGATGATATTTAGACCTTAGCTTCCTTTCCCTTGACTCAGTAAACTAGTAAACAAAATGGTGGTAAAAAGTCATAAATAAATATAGCTTTAGCTATCCAAACTCACTAGATCACTTTTAAAATCTCTTTCAAGAACGACCCACATTTCTCAGGAGGCCAATTAACCAGGTGGTCCTGGAAGAAGAGGTGGTAGAATTCCGATGTCAAGTCCAGGGAGATCCACAGCCAACAGTCCGATGGAAGAAAGATGATACTGATTTGCCACGAGGAAGGTAAGAGTAGCCATTTTTGTTCTTAATGTTTTCAGTCCTCACTGTCTGACTAATTTTGCTTGCTTTGGTCACTGACATAAAACCTGTTATCAGATGTTATAGATAAAGAAGCTTTATTGATTGTTGGCCAATGACTGTTTAAAATATGCTTCCAGGCTGGTGGTTAAGGGAATCCATCCAGAGTTTAATCATTTGATTAATGGCTTAATTGAGAGGGAAGAGGTATTATCCCAATACGGGTATTCTCTGTAGTTGATAAACATATCTGACCTGTACCTAGAAATAAAGATGAAGATTGTAGCAGGGTAGGAGTGCTAGTAATCCTAAAATATAATTCAGTGATGCTCAACAGGAAGCTTCCAAACCAAAGAGTGCACTGGCATCCAGGAAATACTAATGTAAAATGTATAAAAATAAGGCAGCATACCATGTTTTGCTGGCTTCTTCTCCCTTCTTCTGCCATGATTCAGGATGGGGAAATACTTTTTTTTTAATATTCTAGAAAATAAGTAACAAAGACTGGAATTGGGCAAAAAGAAAGTAAAGAGACTCCATCTAGAATAGCACGTCCAGTTTAGGTCAACCACATTCCAGGAAGTTGAATTCAGACTGGAACAAGTGGAGAAAGAGCTACTGAGGTAATCCGAAGAATAAAGATACATTTTAGAAGATTAAGTGGAATGAGCTTGGCTTGTTCAGATGAGCACAACAGAAGTTGAGTAAGGATATGATTGTTCTTAGCAACCATACATTTCTCCTTCCTTAACTGATAAAAACAGGAGCATTTTTCTTAACAGTGATACTATGTTTTGTTAGAAATGGTTGTTTTGTGATCTACTGGGCACATCTACCCATGCCCCTGACTGGGCAGTTCTTTAGCAAGAACTACATGACTGTGCAGTAACTGCCATTACTGCACAGTTCCAGAGGTACATGGGTCATTTTTGACCCTATTGTACAGTAGCATCAGCATCACAGTTCATGACCACCAATGCTATGTCACCGTAGCTTGTTGCTACAGCGATGTAGCTCCTTATGTAGATGCACCCACTGTTGATATACAGTAGATATAATGATTCCATGCATTTTCCAATGAATCGCATGTTCATTTCCCTGGTAAACTATATACTGTGCCATGCTGACCCCACAGTCTCCTTATATAGACAAGGGAAAATAACTGCTAATTCAGCCAATTAAATAATAATTTCTACTGAAAATTGGAATCTTCCTTCCTAGCTTCCTAAGCAAGAAATGTTTTTGTCTTATTTCTGTGTCTTGTATCATGTCAATAATAAGCTTGTATTTTGATAAAATATTGGGGGAGATGACAAGAATATTTTATTTAGAAATTCAGCAAGCATTCCAAATCCCTTCCCCTAACTCTCATCTTTCCTTGGCAGACTGAATGGGTTCATCTACACATGCACATTTACTGCATAGTAAACAAAATTACTGCACAGTATGGGTGCATGTCCATATGTCCATTCCCATACTGCACAGTAACTATGGGGACTTATTCTGATTTGATCATAAATTTGACACCTGCATCATGCGGGTATCAAATTTATGCCTGATTAGTTACTGAGCAGTTACACACATGTAAACGTCTTACAGCGCAGTAATCCAGGGGCCTCCCTACTGGGTCTGCCCAACCACTAGGCTGTCCAGAGCCCAGTTCCAGGGCTCCTGGCTGCTCCCCTCCCCTCCCCCAGGGCTGTGCTGCTCTCTGTTAGCCTCCAGTTGCAAGCCTACAGCCTTTTTGTGCCTTGAGGCACACTGCACAGGAGCTTGGGGGACTGCAAGCCCTGTGTGCTCCCTGGACAGGACCCAAGCTGGTGCTGCTCATCCTGTCCACTAGCCAGAACTGCTCCCTGGTCACACGTGAATGTTGTAAAGGGCTGCAGTCTGCTGCTCCCTCTGCCGAGCTGTCAAAGCTCCCCAGGTCTCCTGCCTGGCTGGCTGTGGAGGAGGTACACAACTGGGCCCAGGAGGAGGTGCACAACCTTGTGGTCCTCTGGGAGGTGTGGAGGTAGAGGCAGTTTGCACACAGTGGGAGCTTGACCCCCCATGTTTATGATGTCCTGTTGGGTGGGATGCATGAGAGAGGCCACTCCTGATTGGCATGGCAGTGCTGCATGAAGGTCAAGGCCTTGTGTGCATAGTGGGTGGCCATGATCAGTCATGATTGTGACTGCAAGGCCATGCCCTTTATACAGAAACTGACCAACATTTTGGTTCTCTGGGAACCAGGCCACAACCCTGCAGTTTTCACTCTGACCCCACCCTCACCCCTCTGAGTGTGACACCTCCCCAGATGAGTGGCCCTCAGTTGTTCAGCGCCCTACCCACCTCTCTGTCTACTGCGCCCAGTAGCAGCTCAGGGAGCCCTGGCCAGCAGCTGCCTTGCCAGCTCCGCACCCTTGTGCCCCAAAATGAGGAATAGCTGACCATGACATTGCTGGCCACCAGCAGGTCCAGATCCTCCCCAGGAGGTGCCCCTAGCTGAGCACTGACTCACTGGCTGCAGACACCAGATGCAGCCACTTGCAAGGCCAGCCTCACCAGCCCCGGGCAGATGGTAAGTCATGTGCTGTGGGGAGGGTGCTTTCAGTCCCCACTGCAGCCTCTGCTCCTACTCCTTGCCCAGCCCACCTACACTCCCCTGGCCCGAGGGTCGCACGCCATAGCACAGAGAGAGGTGGGACACAGTTCAGAGCTGGGACACTGTTGGGCAGCATGTGTCCCCACAGCTGGGAGGGCACAATCCTCTTGCATCGCCAAGGAAGGCATTGATACTAGCGGCAATGCACTGCCCCTGGTGCAGAGCATCTTATTTCTGAAGTGCTGCAAACTCGCACAAAAGGCTTCTGTCTCTGGCCTCTGTGGGGCCAATATCTGGACACTGGGGAGAGGCCACCAGCCCCAGGATCTGGGTCACCTCCACCTACTGCTGGAGCTTTCTGGATCCACCCACACATGCAGTAGCACACCAAAGACCAGACCATCCTGCTCCAGTGGCTGGTGGCAGTTGCTGCAGAGCAGAAACTGCAGAATCAGACCTGGCGGATGGAGGAAGTAATCTAGGAGGAGGCATTCCAGTGGGCAAAGCAGGAGCACTGAAGCTGGATGGAGGCCTTTGAGGAGTGCTGCATCACCCTCTTTGAGTGGCAGACCAAGAGCCAGGGCCAGGCAGTTGTTGCTGCGGATGGTGACTGCCAGGCCCTGGACAACCTCCTGCCCCTGGTGGGCACACCCATGCACCCTGGTGCTCAGTCCCAACCCTGCAGGGCCCCTCGCTGCTGCTCTGCACCCTGCCACAGTTCTCTCCTGGGATTTTTTAGGTCTTCCAGTGCCTCCTACCTGCAGGAGCCCCTGGCTCATTCCCTGCCCTGGTCCTTCTGTCTCCCATTGAGGGCCAGTCACTTACCCTGGCTCCACACAGCCAAGGAGCCAAGGGTTCCAGACACAGCCCCACTAGGGGAAGCTGGCCCTCCTGGGCCTGGACTCAAGTGACCGGAAGGGGCACCTCCTGCTCTGCAGGAGCACCGGCCACCTGCACTAGAGCAGGAGCCTACTGCGTGCTGCAGTCACCACATCCCCCAGACCCACGGGTGAACCGTTCAGGGTGAAGGTGCTGACCACCTGACACTGGGGTCTGTGCCCTATGCAACCTCACCCCACAGGCCCCCCATGCCAGAACTCAGAGAGTGGGTCAGACAGTTAAATGTAGTTTTCAGTTTGGGACATGGGTTTTTTATTGTGGGTGTGTGGGGAGGGTGGTGCGGTGGAAGTGTTCATGGAGGTGGGGGTAGAATCTGTTTGTTGAGGGTGCATGTCCTTGAATGATTCTGGGGGTGGGCAGGGGGTCAGGGGTACGAGGCAGCAGGGCAGGCAGGCTGGAGCAGGGAGTTCAGGAAGAGGGGGTTGGCCAGAGCCTCCTGCAGTCAGTTCCCTGGGCCCAGCTGGCAGGTGCATGGCTGTCCTGGGGCCTGGGCAGAGGGAGCCTGCTGGGGCCAGCAGGAGCACCAGGCACTAGTCGTTGCTGGTAGGGGCAGGGACAGCCGTGGTACAGGGAGGCAGGGTTGGCAAGGAGGGAGCTGCTGCTGGGGGCACGCAGCTCCCAGACAGTGGATTAGAGGGTGCAGGCAAGCTTCTAAGATGGCCACCAAGTTTTGGCAGCTTCCTCTGGCCTTAGCACGACTGCCAAGTGCTGGTAGCCATCTGCTCGGAGGCTGGAGCTCCCCTGGTAGCCACAGGGGCCCATGGCAGGCTGCTCTGACCTGCACATGTAGACACTTGCCTATTCCCACTTAGCGTGCAGTAAGTTAACTTGCAGTAAATGTAAGCTAGCATAAATGCATGTGTAGACATGCCCAATAACTCCTAAAAGTTTCACCCTTGTATCAAGTATTTAAGACTTGTTAGTGGTTCTGAGTTTTCCCACCATCTTAAAGGTGCCAGGTTTTCATAAAATGTTAAATAACTTTTCTTAGAAAGTAACAACCTACTAAGATTTTGTAGAAAGAAAACAGCTCAAACCATGATATAACAAGTTTTTTTCTTTGTGTACACTATACTATCCATTGATTTCACTCCTGTCACTGGTTGCTTGTTACAACTAATTTAGTGGTCCTCCATGCCCTGCCATTTGAAAATCTTCTGGGTTTATAAAATTAACAAAGAAATTCTGTTTCTTAATTTTCTAACTATACACTAATAGTTTTAGTTTTTCTTTTAAGCATTACACACAGCTACACACACACACAAACACATATCTGTGTCTTTAAGATACAGCAACTAGATTTTTTCTTATTATGGCATAGTAAATGTAATAATGATCATGTGTTTGCATATATTTTAGGGCTTGATCTGGTAAATGCTGTTGCCAAATGTAGTTCTTACTGTTGTACACAATCACATTAAAGTTAATGGTGCAACTCTTAGTAACAACACTATACCTGGTAATGTTTCCACCTTTGGGTTTTTACTCCTTTTTGCCT